GAGGGGAGGGGGGGAAATAAAGCAGCCACTTCCAAGCGTTTCTAAATATAGAGCCAGCTCTGTCAGTTTTAATAGGATGGTCATAATTGCTCCCGCCGCTTTGCTGGGCTGAGCGTGGCCTAATTGCTCGCCCGTAACGATCCCAAGTGTTAATACGGGGCAGCGGCGGGTGAGCGGTGCCTCGCAGCCAGGACTGCGCAGCAGCCGCCGGGAAATTGCCCCGGCGCAGGCGATTAGAGGTGTTAATAGGCTGGCTTAGGGGGCCCAGGAGCAGCGCCGCAAGCAGCACATGCATTTTTTCCCCTCTCGCTGCTTGAAGCAACTGTGTTGAATAGGAACAGGGCTGGATCCACGAAAACATCCTATTTTAGGCCGGCCTGACCATTTTCCAGCTGAGGGCTGTAGGCAGAAGCCATCATGGAGGCTGAAGTCACCTGGTGCTTGTTCAAGCTCACACCCACTTGAGTCTTCTCCAGACCAGAGCCTTTGCGGTGTAGAATAGGACAGAGGAGGCTTAGCTATTTCCAAGCCGAGAGTTTCCCCGCGGTAGGAAGGAAGGGGAGAAGCTTGCCAGCATCCCTGTGTGGCCAGAAGGTCGTGGAGAGGCCAGGCTGTAGCTCCAGCGCTGCCCTGGGCAGAGATCCCCACGCCGAGGGTCTCGGGGCAGCTCAGCCCTCCCTGCCCGCGCTGCCGCTGCTTCCCAGCCCCTGGGGTTTCCCGTCCTGCCGAGCAGCTGCCCGGAGCGCTCGGGAAACGCTGGATGGAAGCGAGATATGCTGACCCTGGGGTCCCCTCCCTGCAGCCCCAGGCCCCAAAGAGCTGTTGTCACCGCTCTCCTCGCCTCCACATTGGAGGTGACGGATCGCAAAGGCGATGGTGAGCAACAAGTTACATCGCCAGGCGCCTGAAATCTCCCATCCCTGGAGACCCAGGGTTGTGCATCCCAGCATGAAGAGGTTTAAATGCTGTGCAGTGGTGGAGACCCTCCAAGGAGGGACAAAAATCTGCTCAGCTGCGTCCTCTCTGCTGGAAAGCGAGCGCTGCTGCTCTGTGGGGCAGGGCTGGGGATGAGGTGCCATGCTGGGAGGGAGAACCAGCGAGCGGAGGCTGCTGCCTGCCTGCCAAGGAGCCGCAGCAGCAGCCGTTTGGGTGCTGGCAAGGAGCATCGCTCTCCCCAGCAGCCTGAGAGGCAGCTCACGTCAGCCGGCGCTTCGGGCAGCGCCGGGAATTCATCAGCAGTCATCACTGGTGGCAGAAATGAGGATGAGAAGCTTCTGTCAGCCCTTGCACTCAGATGGTGGCTTGCTCCAGGCTCTGCTTGCGTTGTGCTCTGCTTTACAGGCACATTTCCCAGCGCTTGGCTGTGGACCATGGCACTCGCAGACCTGAGCTGGTCAAACCGGCGATGAGAGCCTGTCACAAACCACTCGGCACTGGGGAGAGCTTGGATTCGCAGCTGCTGGGCTGTAACTCGAAGCACCGCGGCTCTCCCGCAGAACTGGAAATGTCAGCCCCCAGCTGGGAAGCACGGGGCTGCCCGTCCTGCCAGGCCAGCCAGCACAGGGCTCGCAGCTCCAGCGCGCTCCCGCTGAGCATCTCCACACACGGCCGGGATGGAGACAAGCCTCTGGTTGTTAGCTGAAGTCGGCTTGGCAACAAGAACAGATCCAGGCACCGGGGCAAAGAGAGCTGCCTTCCTGCTGGGATAAAGTCAGCCACCCTTCATCGGACCCACAGGCACCTTGCCCTCCCCAGGGAGGGGCAGAGCAGACGGACAGCCCTGTCCCTCTGTCCCCAGCGGTGCGACCAGTGGTCCTGAGCCCCCCACGGGAAGGCACGTGGAGGCACCGGTACCCCACACAGCAGCCCATCTCCTGCAGAAAGGGCTCATTTGCTGTTTGAAAAGACCCCGGTATGCCTAGATGTAGATGCTGTGGTGCTAGCTGGGAGGCTATTTCACTCTTACGGAACAGGGCAGGGCATAAATGCAGCGTCTGCTGTGGCAAGTCCCAGCACAGGGACAGTTGTCCGGTTCCCATAATAAAACTCTCCGATCTCTCCCCTCTGCAAGAAGCAGCATCCACTCAGCGTCCTGTTGCTCTGAGATTGTTTAATACTAAAGTCACGGAGAGGGGCAGGGCTAACATCAGCTAAAACTATGATTAAACACAGCCAGATTATTTTTCTCCCGTTGAAAGAACACCACAAGCTGTACCAGCTCGTCCCTCCTCGGTCTGTCTGCAGCCGGCGGGCACCTCCACGCCAGGGCCTGGGTGCTCTGTTGCACATCACCCTAAAAGTCCCTGGAGGTGCAGCTCCGGGCACAGGATCCCGCTTCGATTTCCAGACTGAACACGCTCGCTAGGAGATGTATTTCAGGCTCGGTTCTCCCCGGCAGCAGAGACTCTCGGGAAGCAGAGCGGGGGTTTTGGAGTGGGAGAAGGTGAGGTTTTGGAGTTGCTTCAGTACAGAGAGGAGGTGGCTGAGCTGCAAGGAAACGCTGTTCTTCTTTGCACTTCAAATGGGGTTTTTCTCGGTGGTACTCTTGCCTCCAGGCTGGGTCCCCCACCCCTCTCCCCGGCCTCCCCAGCCGTCAGCGGGCCGTGGCAAAGCCGATGCGGTTGTTGCGTCGGTCGAATTTGGTGTAGTAGTGCCCGATGAAACTGGCACCCAGGATCCAGAGGGGACCAGCCGGGGGTGGGATGTCCAGCCCTGAGAAAGCCACCACGCAGACGTCCTCCCCGTACTGGGATTGCTGCAGAGAAGGTGAGACCCACGCGGTGATGGGGGTGCCGGGAGGAAGATCTCTACTGCAGCGTGCCCAAGGAAGGGACCCCCGGCTGTTGATCCCCAGCTCAACACCTTCTGCTTGGCCTCAACGTTCCTTCCTCCAGGAAGGAGGATCTCTGCCTGTCTCTGCTCCTTGCTGCTCACCCCAAATCTCCCCAAAACCACCCAAGGAAGCAGCAATAGGTTGGTCTGGCTCATCTGGACACCTCTGCCGAGCAGGAGGGTTTGGGGAAAAACAAGAAGCACCATTCTGGGGCTGATCTCAGCAGCTTTAGGGGAGCCAGGAGGGCGCAGGACGCTGCAGGAGAGCAGCACCCTGAGATGCACCGCTCTCCCAGGCAGACGCACCCGGCCTGGGGAAAGCCACCCTCCCGCCCCGCACGGAGGGATGCTGCTTACCCGGAGGGTGTAGGCTGAGCCGCTGAGCCCGTAGACCTTCCCGCCCAGGTGGAAGGAGATGTTGGGCAGCTGAGGGACTCGGTCGCAGTCCACCACATACTGCAGGAGGAGGAGACAGCTCTGAGCCCGTGTGCTGGGGGAGGGATGGGGTACGGGCAGGGACGTGGAGCGGGGCAGAGGGGGTTTGCTCACCTCTCCTTCAGCCATTTCGGCTGCCCCGATGGCTTTCATCAGCACAGAGACAGCGCCAGCCGGGCCGGTGATGTAGGACGCTCCCGTGTCGACAGCCACCGAGCACCCTTCCTTGCAGAACAGGATTTCAGCCCCTACGGACACGCTGGAGCGGGAGGGGAGAGGGGTGACCCTGGGTCTCCCACGGCAGCTGCAGCTTGGCTCCCAGGGCTGCGGGTGCCCGTGGGCGAACGTGCTGCATCCCTGCCCGGGGAACACCGCCCAAGCAGAGCATGTGCTGCTCCCAGTGCCCCCAGCACACAGACTCTCCAGAGGCACCGGGAACCCTCCCTTCACGCTTCTCCAACGTGAAAGCTAGGCTTCATCACGTGTGGTTTTTATTTTTTTTTAAATTAAACAAAGCAGAATTGTTTCAGTGCCTCACGCTGCTCCCTCAGGACTGAAGGGGGTTAAATTCTTCCACTGCAGCTTCCAAGCTGAATCAGCCCACGGTGCCACCCCCTCCGCATTCCCCAGCCCTGCTCCTCGCAGAGCATCCGCAGGGCTCCGCGCTGGAGGAACCGACCCCGCTCCCCTCCGGAGGGGAAAGCATCCACCAGCAGCACCCAGGGAAGGCATGACCCTGCTGACCACCTTCCCCAGCACCCAGCGAGCTTTCCCCGGGGCCACCCTCGCACCCCGGGAGGGTCACGGGACGAGACCGGTGCTGTGCTCAGGCTGCTGGGCCGTTAGCCGCTCTTGCTGACGTTCAGGTAGTGGAAGTCTCCGGTGTAGTAGGCTGGGTCGCTGCCTCCGAGGATGATTTCCCCCCCGGGTCTCAGAGGAGTGTTCCTAGGGTGCAAAACACAGCGGAGCGATTCCCCCTCGGCCGCTGTCCCTGCACAGACCGGGA